GTCTTCCTCGGGGCCTCCTCCCGGTGGGACGTGCCCGGAATACCTCACCAGGGAGGCGTCCAGGAGGCATCCTTACCAGGGAGGCTTAAGAGTGTGACCCCCCTGTAATTGGAGCACACCCTCCGGTCCCCCTTTTTGACCACCACCCCAGTCTGCCAATCCAGGGGTACTGCCCCCGATGTCCATGCGATATTGCAGAGTCGCGTAAGCCAACACAACCCTACAACATCCAACAAGTTTATATTTTTGAAATTATTTCAGCATTCAATCATCTGCTAAAATTTCATCCGCGCTGCTTAATGACAGCAGCGGTGTTTTGTTTCATTTTTTATATGATCCATAATTAACCATTACACTGCTGGGATAAAGTGAGACTCACATATCTGCACATGCTTGATCAAGAAATCTGTGATCCTCCCAGTGGGTCTAGTAAAAGACCATGAATGTGCCTTATTCTGAAATGATTTACAGCTGGCCCCTTTAGAGCAACTTTTTACAGCTGTTTATAAGCTGAAGGCTTGTTCAAGCTCACCTTACAGCTGATATCCTGGATTTATAAATCTGATTTTTTTGTATAAATAAAAAAGCTCCAGATCAGAATAAGGCTTTGTCTAAGTTGCATTGGATACTTTTAGAAGCTGATCTTCAGCTGCTTTTAAACCAAGCTAATAATGTTTTTTTCCTACATGTTGATGTTGTTATTGTGTGGGTGTTTTGATCATAAATTGGAAGTTCATCAATATTTCAGAACTTTTGTTAGAATCATGAAAATTTTCACTTTTTGTAAACAGAAGAGTAACATGGGATTTTGGCCTTAAAACTGGTTTCTCCATAAGAGGATCCAAAAGGTTATATAAAAGTTAAAATATTAATTGTTCTCAACCATTACAAAGAAAAAAAATATTTGAACTAGCCCTTTAAGATGTGATGAAAGTACTGTGCAAAAAAAAGAAGAAAAGGCTGCAGGCAAGCCATTTATAAACAGCAGGATATGCAGTTTATTATCAAATTGTCAATTGACTTTTTTAATTACATTTAAATATTACATAAGATTGTGTTGATTAACAGTATGTTGATGTGCTTGATGTTAACCTAATTAGATAGGCCCCTTTATTTCATGAGAACCAAACAGCATGGACTATCAATATTTTAATTAAGGAAGTATAGCGGTAAAGAAAAGTGAGCCCACTCACTGTGTGATGTGTTTGTTCTAAAAGTGCAATAAAAAGCTCTCTGGAAGATGTAGGCTGGGGTCATTTCTGCTGATAACTCCAAGTTCTCTAAAAATACAAACAATTTGGATTATTGTTGGTTTTATTATTAAACATGTTGCTGTACTTTAAAGTGACCTCAATAAGAAATTTACATATCTCTCTCTTGAAAAACCCATTTATTAGTCACCCATAATTGGTGGAGGGAAGATTCGGGGGACAGTCTGGCAAAGGACCATCACAGCCCACAGCAAAATATAGTCTAGTTGTTTAAATCAGAACTTTGGCCCTGCACCTTTTTCACGTTCAATACTGGATATCCTTTCAAGACCCTTTTTTGTAACAGGTTTATTCGTGTTGACTCTGCAGCATTGCCTGCCAAAAACCTAGACATGGAACAGTGGTAGCCTATTGATCAGGGTAGAATAA